AAGAAAACTAGCCAGGCATGGTGGCATGCACACCTGTAGTCCCAGCTACACGGGAGGCTGGGGCAGGAGGATCACTTGAGCCCAGGAGTTGGAGGCTGCAGTGAGCTATCATCATACCGTTGCACTCCAGCCTGAGCAACAGAGTGAGACTCTGTCTCTAAAAATAATAATAACAAAGAATGAAGGAGGGCCAGGGGTTGGAAACAGGAAGACAGTCCTGGGGCATGAAGGGGAGATGAGAGAGACAGGAAAGGTCAGACATTGTGAGACGAGGTGGAGGCCGGGCCTGACCTGTGAAAGTCCTCGATGCAGTGGATCTGGCTGGTAGCATCCACCGTGAAAGGGATGCCATCAAGGCCGCGGTGACATACCACGCAGGTGAAGCAGCCAGGGTGGTAGGCCTTTCCCATAGCCCGCAGGATCCGGTCCAGGATGGGCTGGGAGCACGTGGCGCATTTCTCCAGGGTGGCCTGTTGGGAAGGAAGGCAGGAAAATCTGGCAGCCGGTGGGACCCACGGCAGCCCACCAGGCACCCCAACAGGCCAGCCATCTATTTCTGCAGCCCCCTGCATGTGATTCGGTGAAAAGCGGACTTGAGCAGATCTAAGTTCAGATCCCAACACTATACAAGGTATTTAACCACTCTGAGAAAAGCAGCAATCAGGCTGGAGTGGCTCATGCCTGTAATGCCAGCACTTCGGGAGGCCGGAGTGGGCAGATCGCTTGAGGCCAGGAGTTCGAGAACAGCCTGGCCAAATGGCGAAACCCTGTCTCTACTAAAAATACAAAAACTAGCCAGGTGTGGTGGCGGGCGCCTGTAATCCCAGCTACTCGGGAGGCTGAGGCACGAGAATCACTTGAACCAGGGGAGGCAGAGGTTGCAATAAGCCGAGATTGCACCACTGCACTCCAGCCTGGGCGACAGAGCAAAACTGTTTCAAAAAAGAAAAACAGGAGTCAGTAGTAATACCTGCCTCATGGGCGTCGTGGGAATCTAACACATTCTCTTTAACTGTAAGACGCCCCACGCTTGTTAAGAGCTGCGTCCTTCCCCTCAGCCACCAGTGTTGAGCTACTTGCTTGATGTTTGCAGAATTCCTTCCTGTTTGTACATGGCTTCCAGTGGCCTGGCTTCTAGCACCATTCCTCCTCTGGGCTTGGACATTCTAGCTCCCATCTTGGATAGAAGCCCCCGGCATCCAGCCACTGACTCCAGCCCCCCAGCCCCAGCCACTCACCACATAGCAGCCCTCGCAATACGCCCTCCTCTCCACGGCATAGAAATGCTGGCCCCGAAGCTGGGCCCGGCACGTAGAACACACAAAGCAGCCCACGTGAAAGACACGATCGAGGGCCACAACCCCGGCCCCATCCCCGACCACATCTTCTCCACAGCCACCACACCGGCCTGAGGACAGGCAGAAACAACATCAGTCTGCACAGACCCAGGAAGTCGCTGTCCCTCCTGTCTCCCAGCCTCCCCTCCCGCTTTCCACCTGCCCCACAGCCTCAGCTCACCAAAGTACTCCCCACTGGGCGGGTGGTTCATGTCGTGCACCAGCTTCTTGGTCAGCCTGTCCAGCTCATCCTCCGGAGGCTGGCTCAGGGACACCTGGAAGGTGGGAATCAGGGGTTCGGTCCTACTCTAGCTCCTGATGCTGTGATACAGGGGTCCTCAACCCCCAGGCCGGGGCCTGTTAGGAACCAGGCCGCACAGCAGGAGGTGAGCAATGGGCAAGCAAAGCTCATCTGTATCTACAGCCGCTCCCAGTCACCCGCATTACCGCCCCAGCACTGCCTCCTGTCAGATCAGCAGCATTAGATTCTCATAGGAAGCCTTCACGGAATCACATGTGCATTCAAGGGATCTAGGTTGCGTGTTCCTTATGAGACTCTAAGGCCTGATGATCTGTCACTGTCTCCCATCAACCCCAGATGGGATCATCTAGTTGCAGGAAAACGAGCTCAGGGCTCACACTGATTCTACAAGATGGTGAGTTGTAGAATTGCTTCATTATATATTATCATATACTATAATGAAACAATTATACATGTTATACATATTCTATTAGTGTTATAATAGAAATAAAGTGCACAATGAATGTAATGCACTTGAATCATCCCAAAACTATCCCCTGCCCCAGTCTGTGGAAAAATTGTCCTCCACGAAACTGGTCCCTGGTGCCAAAAAGGTTGGGGACTGCTGTATGTCCCTGAAGATGGCCAGGCAGTTCCAGCTAGAAAGCTCATCTGAGAACATCTCAGCCCAGGGGCCAGTTATTTTTTGTTTTTTGTTTGAGACGGAGTTTCGTTCCTTCTCGTCACTCAGGCTGGAGTGCAATGGCACAATCTCAGCTCACCACAACCTCTGCCTCCCGGGTTCAAGCAATTATCCTGCCTCAGCCTCCCTAGTAGCTGGGATTACAGGCATGAGCCACCATGCCCAGCTAATTTTGTATTTTTAGTAGAGACAGGGTTTCTCCATGTTGCTCAGGCTGGTCTCAAACTCCCAACCTCAGGTGATCCACCCGTCTTGGCCTCCCAAAGTGCTGGGATTACAGGCGTGAGCCACTGTGCCGGTTCCCCGTGGGCAGTTCTATCCTGCTCCCCTGCACCGCCCGCCCTGTATTTCCTGACCGGCTCTGCATCCCAGACCTCTGACTGTGCTCCAAAACCAGCCCCCTGGCCAGGCAGCGTCTCACACCTGCAATCCCAGCACTTTGGGAGGCTGAGGCAATGGCTCACTTGAGGTCAGTAGTTCAAGATCAGCCTGGCCAACATGGTGAAACTCCATCTCTACTAAAAATACAAAAATTATCTGGGCATAGTGGCATGTGCCTGTAGTCCCAGCTACTCGGAAGGCTGAAGAAGGAGACTCACTTGAACCTAGGAGGTGGAGGTTGTAGTGAGCCAAGATCACACCACTGCACTCCAGCCTGAGTAACAAGAGCAAAACTCCCTCTCAAAAAAAAAAAAAAAAAAAAAAAAAAAAAAAAACGAGAGCGCTCCAAGACCCCAGTACCAAAAAAACAAGAAAAAAACAAAAAAAAAAAAAAAAAAAAAAAAAAAAAACCAGGGCCCTAGAACACCAGCCTCCCCACTAATCAGTGTCCCATTGCCTGTAAGACCTGGCATCCCAGTTCCCCAGGGCTTACCTGGGGCCCGTGCTCACCGCCTCTTCCTCCTCCTGCAGGGCCAGAGACCCCAGCAGCCTCCTCTTTGGCCCCCGGCCCCAGCTCTCTCTGGCTTCTATAGCCAGGTCCCCAGACTTCACCTCGGCCTGGGAGAGGAAAGTGGGGGCCTGGGAGGGGCCCAGAGGCCTGAGAGGCCCCCCGCCGGGGTGGGCCACAGCCCCTCACTGGCTGTGCCACCTTCACTTGCACAGGGAAGGCAGGGCCAGCTGGGGTGCTGGCAGTAGCATAAGAGGCTGGAGTGGGGCCCCCATAGGGAGACGCTGGGAGCGGCGAGGCTGGGTTCGGCTTTAGGGAGCCCGTGCGGTAGGCAGGAGGTAGCGGGGACTCATATGCCTAAGGAGAAACGCAGACCAGAAGCCTAAGCGAAGCCCCCACTCTGGGACCCACATTTGTGGAAATGACCCCAGGTGTGGGGCAGTACGGGTGTGTGCATCTGACAAGGTCCCGTCCTCAGGTGGCTGACATGTTGGTACTTGCAGCCACGCTTCCTCCATGCTGGGGTGCACAGCACACACATGATGGGGTGGACTGGGGTTGTGAGTCCAGAGAAGCAGGAGGCTGCAGATGGGGAGGAGAGGTAGGACCGGGGAGTCACCTGTCGGTCTGGTCGTCGTGGCGCGTGACCCCGACCCCCATTCAGCTCGGCCAGCGTGCTGCTCAGCAAGTCTATCTCGGCGTCCAGGCTGCTGGGGCGCAGGGCACTCCTGTCTGCAGGGAGCCCCTGAGGATGGAGCCGAAGCAGAGAGAATGCAAATCGCCATGGCCCCTCTCCTGCCCTGGCTCTCTCACAGTCGGTTCTAGGGGACCCCGCACGTCCCACCCAGCAATCCCAGTTCTCACCTGCGTGCGCTGGGGTACTCCATGGGACCCCACCCAGGCCGGCCCCCGATCCTCCGGTGCCCCTGGGGCCTGGTAACACTGCTCTGATGGGAGGGGGCAAAAATTGCCCCTGGGGTGGGGCTGGAGTGCTGGGTTGAGGGAAGAGATCAAAGGTAGGGTGGCAGAGGACAGGAGGGGTGTGCATTTGGGGAGCTGCCCTTTCCGCCCCTCTTTACCTCTCCCCCGAATCTAAGGTCCCAAGAGATCTCGGGCAGTTGTTCCCACCGGCTTGGGGAAGGGGCAGGAGGAAGCCGGCAGGGCGGGAGGCTGGAGCTGGAGGACAGAGGTGAGCGCCAGAGCGGGGTGGCTCCTCTGTCTCACGAGGGCTGCCTTACCTGCTCCGTGGGCTGGTGGTGGCCCCGGGGCGCCTCGGGGGATCGCCCTCCCCTGAGGGGCTCTGGTGGGCTCCGGCTGCTTCGGGGGCAGCCAGGTGGGCCCTGACATGGCCTAGAATGGGGAACTCCGGACAGCGTTCTTGAAGCCCCGAGCCTCGAGCCTTCACCCCCTCTTCCGTCCTGCCTCGTTCGGGACTCCAGAAAAGAAAACTTTTTCTGGCTTTTTTTTCCTCTTCCTCCCTAATTTTGGGGACGACCACGCCCCCAATGACGTCACCACATTCCTGGGGGAGGGTCACGTGGCCCCCTAGGCCCTAAACTGCCATTTATCTCTGAGTCGGCCCCCTCCCGCCGAGAAGGACTGGCTCTCCGGGGGAGCCCGAGTCACTGGGGGCTGTGGGCAGCTGGGGATTGGAGGTGGGGCCCGGGGCCAGTCTCCAAGTCCACAGATGCCCCCTGGGCCCCGCGCCCCAGCCCTGCACGTGGCAGCCTGGCTGCTGGAGGCTGAAGCTCCGATCTCCACCCCTCTGCAGAGCTCTCCTTTCCCACCTCCTCCCTCTCACCTCCCCACCAGCGTGGCTCAGCCAGCCTGTAGTGTTTTGGTCTTTTATTCATGGTCAGCAGAGTTAGAAAAATAAAACAGAATGAAAACATCACCACCCCAGTGGGCCAGTAAGTCTGGCCAGGATGAGGAAACTGAGGTAGCCCAGAGTTCGGAGGAGGGCCAGCCCCTAGCATCAAGGCACCAGTGAAGGGAGGCTGCAGACTCCCTCCCCTGAACGGTGGGGACAGCCATCCGGAGTTATTGTGCTGGGGTCCCTCTGCCAAAGGAGGTGGGTGTGACACCCAAGCCCAGAACCCCCTTAAAACCTCCCCTGGGCTCCAGGTCCCAGGGGCAGGACCACAGGACACAGCGATTCCCTTCTCCTTCGCCAAGGATCAGGATGGGCCGCCTGCCTGGGCCCTCTCTACCCAGCCCTGGAGGCAGGGGCATCAGAGATCAGTGCAGGTGACCGGGGTGACACCGTGAACCAGCAGTGTGGGGCCCAGGTCTCGGCTTAGAGTCTCCAGTAGCGCCAGGTAGCGGGGGTAGCGGGCGGGGTCAGCGGGCGGCCGAGGCAAGTACAGGAAGGTGAGGGCTGTGGTGGGGCCCTCGGCATTCCCACCCTCTGGCCCACCCGGCCCTCCTCCCGTGCCACGCCCCTGCTGGGCCCGAAGCAGGGCGTTGGCGCTGCGTGCCAGGGCCTCTGCCTCCGCGTCTCCCTGCCTACTGTTCACAAAGTCCCCTTCCTCCTCCGCCTCAGGTTCCCCAGCCTCAGCCCCCTCACCCCACACCACCTCCTGCACCTCAGCCCGGATCCTCAGTTGGCTCAGTAGCACCCGCAGCCGCCCCTCGGCCGCCCCAGGCGCCTCCCGAGGCCCCAGGCACAGGAAGATCCGGAGCCGGGCACTGTGCCAAGCGGGCACCATGCCCAAGATGGTTGCCATCTGCAGCAGGAAGAGACCACAGACATCCACGTAGCCGGGCCCACCCCGGGGCCGCAGCAGGTTGAGGGGCCACACATCCACGTGGTGCAGCTGAGAGGTGCCCCCAGACCCCCGGCTCAGCCGCTCTGGGGGCAAGGCCCCACTGGCCCGGGCTAGCACCACATTCTTGTTCATCTTGAGGGCATCAGCCACCGTGGCCACATAGTCCTGGGGACTGAGAGCCCGGGGGCTCCCAGGAGCCCGGGGAGGAGGGAACAGGGTGCTGAGAGCCGGGGAACCACCCTCCCTGGTGTTGTCCACAGGTTCGGAGAAAGCCGGGTCCGTCAGGAAATGGTCCTGTGGTGGGGCGTCATCGTAGAAACCCAGGACCAGCGTGTTGGGCTTCATGCCACCTGAGGGCAGAGAGGCGGAGGCAGGAACAGACAGGAGTCAGGCTCACAGGCTAAGTTTACATCGCGCTCCCACGCGCTGACAGCAATATGTGTCAGCCATAAGCTATGACATTCTCACTGTGTACAGGCTCTTACAGCAACATTCTGCACATTTGCATAATGACTTTTCATTTTTCCCAAACACTTTCACATGCACTTATTTTATTATCTCAGTGACTAATCTCCTCCACTTAAACAGACAAAGTTCGCATTAGGATGCTTGCCACGAATGAGCACTCCAATCCTATAGCGAGAGTAGGACACTGTCTGCTCCCAGCTTCTAGCAGGGCATCTGTTTCATGGTAGGAGATGCGAGTCGAACTCCGTCATTCAAACCAGACACCCTGATCAGCCAAGCTCATGGCCTGAATCCCCAGGGGAACAGCACCCCAGACCCTGCTAGTGGAAGATGAGAAAATGGACCGGGCCGAGCACGGTGGCTCACCCCTGTAATCGCAGCACTTTGGGAAGCTGAGATACACAGATCGCCTGAGGTCAGGAGTTTGAGACCAGCCTGGCCAAAAAGGTGAAACCCCATCTCTACTAAAAATACAAAAATTAGGCTGGGCACGGTAGCTCACACCTGTAATCCCAGCACTTTTGGGGGTTAAGACGGGCAGATCACCTGAGGTCAGCAGTTTGAGACCAGCTTAACCAACATGGAGAAACCCTGTCTCTACTAAAAATATAAAATTAACTGGGCATGGTTGCGCATGCCTGTTATCCCAGCTACTCAGGAGGCTGAGGCAGGAGAATCGCTTGAACCCAGGAGGCGGAGGTTGTGGTGAGCCGAGATCCCACCATTGCACTCCAGCCTGGGCAACTAAAGTGAAACTCCGTCTCAAAAAGAATTAAAATACAAAAATTAACAGGGCATTGTGGTGGGCACCTATAATCCCAGCTATACTCAGGAAGCTGAAACATGAGAATTGCCTGAATCTGAGAGGTGGAGGTTGCAGTGAGCCAAGATCACACCACTGTACTCCAGCCTGGACAACAGAGCAAGACTCAGTCTCAAAAAAAAGGAAAAAATGAGCCAGGGCTACCCAGTATGTTTCTATTACTGCAAGACCCTAATCATGGTGGTATAGCATGGTATTCGCTTACCAGGGGCTGTGTCCTATAGAAAGCACTTTGTGTTTTAACTCATTTGAACCTTAAAGCAACACTGTGAGGTAGGTACTATTTAGTCTCCTCTTTTTACTGATACGGAACCCGAAGCACCAAGCGATGAAGTCACTCACCCACAGGCTCACGGCTGGTGGGTACTGGGGCAGGTATGTCAACACATGCTGCCTCCACCCAGCATGAGAGGCCACACTCTGAGACACCAAGCTGGGCACGTGCCAACCACAATGCCCCAAGTACCTGCCAACAAGCTCCTGGTTCTTAATTTTTGAACAACCCAAGTGGAATCGGGTAACTCCCCCCCTTGAACCAGGCTGAGTTTACAGAGAGACTCAGAGACCTCTTCTAAGACCGCTTCTCATGAAACAAACATTGCTCAACCCATAAATCAAATTCTCTATGACAGGAGAATCCACCATTTAAAGGAAATACTTTTCCTTTTACTGGAGTAGGTTGATGCAAAAGTAATTGCATTTTTTCCCCATTAAAATGGCAAAAACAGGCTAGTGCGGTGGTTCACGCCTGTAATCCCAGTACTTTGGGGGGCTTAGGCGGGCGGATCACCTGAGATCGGAAGTTTGAGACCGGTCTGGGCAACATGGCAAAACCCCATCTCTACCAAAAATATACAAAAATTAGCCAGCGTGCTGGTGTGCACCTGGCAGTCCCAGCTACTCAGGATACTGAGATGGAAGAATCACTTGAACCCAGGAAGCAGAGGTTGCAGTGAGCTGAGATCACGCCACTGCACTCCAGCCTGGGTGACAAAGTGAGACCCTGTCCAAAAATAAGAGCAAAAACCACAACTGCTTTTGTACCAGCCTAATATCTTCCACAGGATAAATTTCATGAGCATAGTAGTCTCTGCACAAAAGGTGAAGACCAGGCTCTCAGATGCTCTATGGCTCAGTGATGCTTGCCAACACCCTAAAACATCTGGGCAGGTGTGAACTCCAGCTGATCTTGCAAAATAAGCTAGTCACGCCCCCTCCCGAGTATCTCCCAGAGTCCGATTTTCACTGAACCGGGCAATGTCCAACACAGTTGAACTTCAGCCAGACTCTGAATAGAGAAGGAAGCATGCGCTTTGGTGACAGGCACTGGTCCAGGATTAAAGGAGAAGGCAGTGACTGAGCATGGATGACCCTGGTGGCCTCAGCGCTAAAAGCTGAGAATTCACCACTCCATCCACAAGCGTCAGCCCCACTCAGCCCCACGCGGCCTCCGGCATCTTTTGTGGCTTGGGGGTGGGGGACGGGGCATGTTACATCTCCTACTTCCCAACCCCTTTCAAAGCCTGGCTGAATTACCATCTCTCCACAAAACCTTTGCTGGCTATATAGTGGCTGGCCTTCCTTCCTCTGAACGCTGGCGGCTAAAAACCATCTGGGGGCCAGGTGCAGTGGTTCATGCCTGTAATCCCAGCACTTTGGGAGGCCAAGGCGGACAGATCACCTGAGGTCAGAAGTTCAAGACCAGCCTGACCAACATGGAGAAACCCCATCTCTATTAAAAATATGAAATTGGTCAGGTGTGGTGGCGCATGCCTATAATCCCAGCTACTCAGGAGGCTGAGGCAGGAGAATTGCTTGGAGCCAGGAAGTGGAGATTGCAGTGAGCCGAGATCGAACCACTGTACTCCATCCTGGGGAACAAGATCAAAACTCTGTCTCAAAAAAGAAAAAAACAAAACCACCATCTGATTTGATGAGGCAGCTGGAGATTCAAATAATGCTCCATTGTCCCTCAAAATACACTCTTCAGTGCCTATGCCCCAATTTTTAGGTCAGAAAAAAAAGAAAGAAAGGCCAGGCACAGTGGATCATGCCTGTAATCCCAGCACTTTGGGAGGCCGAGGCGGGTGGATCACCTGAGGTCAGGAGCTCAAGACCAGCCTGGGCAACATGGTGAAACCTCATCTCTACTAAAAATACAAAAATAGCCAGGCGTGGTGGCACACAAGTGTAACACACTCCCTACTCAGGAGGCTAAGACAGGAGAATCACTAGAACCCGGGAGGCGGAGGTTGCAGTGAGCCGAGATCGCACCACTGCACCACTCCAGCCTGGGCAAGACAGAGCGAGACTCTGTCTTAAAAAAAAGGAGAAGGAAAAAACCGCAACAGCATCGCCCACCCCATTGCTAGTCCCCAGCATCTCCTACGAGACCTTATCGCACACTGTCTGCGGCTATTATCTTTGAGCACTGTCTTATCTGCTCTGGACTATAGGGTCCTTTTGCAGTTTGCAATCTGTGGCTGACTCTCTAGGGGAGGGGAGCGGAGATTTGAAGTAGCCACAGGGGAAGGCTGAGGGGATCCAGGGAGGAGCATCTCACCGAGGCCCGAGATTCGCAGCAGATGCTGAGCCCCCTGGCGCACGGAGGGTGAGAGGGTTAGATCCACAAAAGCCTTCACCTGGGCCCGGTCCACCAGGCTCAGCCATGCCCCATACTGAGGCTGTACTGGGTCCGAGGGCAGGGAGTCTACAGAGAAGATAAGGAAAGGAAGGCAGCCAGTGTCGGCCAAGTTCAATGTTTCCTAGAGTCCAAATCACAGATGGGCCTGGGCAGGGCTATGGCTGGTTGGAGAATTCACTAGGAAGGAGATAAAAGGGGGAAAGGGGCTGGTGTCACGGCTCATGCCTGCAATCCCTGCAGTTTGGGAGGCCAAGGTGCAAGGGTTGCTTGAGCCAGGAGTTGCGGACCAGCCTGGGAAACATAAAGACACCTCATCTCTACAAAGTAGCCAGGCCTGGTGGTACACACCTGTAGTCCCAGCTACTCAGGAGGCTGAGGCAGGAGGATCGCTTGAGCCCAAGAAGTTGAAGCTGCAGTGAGCTATGATGGCACCCCTGCCCTCCAGCCTGGGTGACAGAGCAAGACCTTGTCTCAAAAAAAAAAAAAGGGGGTTGGGGACTGGCCGTTGTGGCTCACGCCTACAATCTCAGCACTTTGGGAGGCCAAGGTGGGCAGATCACTTGAGGTCAGGAGTTTGAGACCAACTTGGCCAACATGGTGAAACTCCATCTCTACTAAAAATACAAAAACTAGGCCGGGCGCGGTGGCTCAAGCCTGTAATCCCAGCACTTTGGGAGGCCGAGGCGGGTGGATCACGAGGTCAAGAGATCGAGACCATCCTGGTCAACATGGTGAAACCCCGTCTCTACTAAAACTACAAAAAATTAGCTTGGCATGGTGGCGCGTGCCTCTAATCCCAGCTACTCAGGAGGCTGAGGCAGGAGAATTGCCTGAACCCAGGAGGCGGAGGTTGCGGTGAGCCGAGATTGCGCCATTGCACTCCAGCCTGGGTAACAAGAGTGAAACTCCATCTCAAAAAAAAAAAAAAAAATACAAAAACTAGCCAGGCATGGTGGTATGTGCCTGTAATCCCAGCTCAGGAGGCTAAGGCAGGAGAAGGCAGGAGAATCGATTGAACCCGGGAGGTGGAGGTTGCAGTGAGCTGAGATCGTCCCACTGCACTCCAGCTTGGGCAACAAAGCGAGACTCTGTCTCCAAAAAAACAAACAAACAAAAAACGGTAAGGTAAGAGAAGGATGTGAGCGAATGTGTGGGAGGGCAGCTCACCGAGGTCTCCCAGGGTGACGTGGCCCAGCACATAAAGCCCCCCCTTCTTAAGCTGGTTGGCCAGTCGCAGCAGAGGCAGGGCGCCCCTGGGGTTCCCCACCAGCAGCAACAGCTGGGGCCGCCAGAACTTCACGTGGTCCTTCCGGACGTCCAGCCGGAGCAGATACTTGCGCACCTGGGTACAGTGGGAGGTGGTGGGGAAGTGGCAAGATCAAACACACAGTCCTGTTTGGCACCTCTTGGATGGGAACACCAACTCCGACTGAAGGGAGGGAGAAGGGGTTCCCTGACCGCCTCCCTCTCCCCTCCCCACCACCCCCAGCTCCCCGTACCTGGTGGAAAAGCAAGGCCTGACTGACATAGCCCCAGCTGCTGGGGCCTCCTCGCGCAGTGAGCAGCGCAGCCAGCAGGCCCATGAGGAGCAGGGAGCCCCCGGCCGCACCGGGGCTGATGAGGAACATCATGAGCAGGCAGGAGGCCACCCCCAGCAGGCAGGTATGCCAGGAGAACAGGCTGAAGGTGGGGCTGCGGACACGGAGGGAAGGAGGGACGGAAGCTCAGGGTCGGCCTCGTGCCAAGCTGCAGTCCCCAGCCCCACGCCTGGGCCGGAGTCCTCCGCATTTTCCCATTCCTCCCTTCTTCTCTCCATCTCCAGGGACACAGGCCTCTGAGTCTCTCACCGGAAGTTGGGGGCCGAGGCCCACTCCAGGCTCAGGCAGGACAGGTCCACGGCAGCATAGGCCACCAGGTAGAAGACGGTGACTACAGCAGCTATCGTGTTCAGCTTCCCGGCCAGAAGCACCAGCTGGGCAGGGGCCAAGAGGTATGCCATTGATCCAAAGTGCCGGTGTACCCCCAAAGTACCAGTGCATCCCCAAAGTGTCAATGAGCCCCAGAAAGTGCCAGTGAACCCTGCAAAGTGCCAGTATGCCCCAAAAGTGTCAACCCCCAAAAGGGCCAGTGTACCCCCAAAGTATCAGTGAGCCCTGGAAAGTACCAGTGAATCATGAAAAGTACCAGCATACCCCCAAAGTGTCAATGAACCCCAGAAAGTGCCAGTGAACCCCAAAGTGTCAATGAATGCTGGAAAGTGCCAGTGAGTCCTCCAAAGTGCCAGTCCACCCCCTAAAGTGTCAGTGAACCCCAGAGAATACCAGTGTACCTCCACAGAGAGCCACTGAACCTCCAAAGTATCAGCAAAACCCCACAAAGTGTTAGTACATCCCAGAGTGCCAGCAAACCCCTCAAAGTGCTGGGGTACTCCACGAAGTACCAGTGAACCCTGAAAAATACTAATGTACCCCACAAAGTGTCAGTGAACCCTGCAAAATGCCAGTGTACCCCAGAAAGTACCAGCAAACCCCCTCAGGGTGCCAGTGAACCCTGCAAAGTGCTGGTGAACCCCACAAAGTGCCAGTGAAACCTGCAGAGTACCAGTGCACCCCAAGTGCAAATGCATTGGCCTTTGCATTTGTCTCCCAGCCTGCATCTAACTGCACCCCCATCCTGCCAGCTGGTGGGGTGAGGAAAGGGCCCGTTGAAAAAGTCTCACCTGCACCAGGCCCCAAGAATACAGTACAGCTCCCCAGGGGTTTCCCCCTTGGGACACAACCTTGGCCGGCGCCAAGATCACTCCTAGAAAAACAGAATCCACAGCAGACACATCAGCCAGGGCCTAGAGGGTACACAGAAGAGACAAGGGAGGGCATGCTCCGAGCCAGCAAGGAGGCAGAGAACCCACCGAAGAGGTCGTCCCGGGCCAGGGCATGGAGGATGCGGGAGGCACCGATGAGCGAGCTCATGGACGCGGAGAGTGCGGTGGCATAGATTCCGATCAACACCAGCGGGGGCCACAGGCTGATGGCGCGGAAGAACCCATAGTCCTCCTGCAGCAGGGTCCTAGGAGGGAGGGAAGGGAGGTCATGTCATAGGATGGGAAAAGCCCCAGCCCTGATCTTAAGGATCAGATTCAGATATCAAATGTGCTAAAGGGATACGCCTGGTATTCATTGGGCGGCCTTGGATTTAATCACTCACTGGTCCTTCCTTTCTCTTTTTTTTTTTTTTTTTTGAGACTGAGTTGCACTTTTGTTGCCCAGGCTAGAGTGTAGTAGCTCGATTTCCACTCACTGCAACCTCCGCCTCCCGGGTTCAAGTGATTCTCCTGCCTCAGCCTCCTGAGTAGCTGGGATTACAGGTGCCCACCAACACACCCGGCTAATTTTTTGTATTTGTAGTAGGGACAGGGTTTCACCACGTTGGCCAGGCTGGTCTCAAACTCCTGACCTCAAGTGATTCACCACCTCAGCCTCCCAAAGTGCTGGAATTGCAGGCATGAGCCACCGAGCCCACGCCTTTCCTTTTTTTTTAAGAGACAAGGTCTCACTCCAACCCCCAGGCTGCAGTGCAGTGCTGCAATCACAGCTCACTGCAGCCTCGACCTCTTGGGCTCAAGCAGTTCTCCCATCTCAGCCTCCCAAGTAGCTAGGACTACAAGCAGGTGCCATCACGCCTGACTAATTTTTGTATTTGAGGGGAAGGTCTTGCTATGTTGTCCAGGCTAGTCTGGAACTCCTGGCCTTTAGCGATCCTCCTGCCTCAGCCTCCCAAAGTGCTGGGATTACAGGTGTGAGCCGCCACACCCAGCTGTCACACCTAATGGTGTATGCACAAGAGGCCAAATATTTACAGAAATACAAACTTAGTAGAAAGTCACTGCCCACCCTCGCTCCCAAGCTAAGTGCCTGCAACAGTACCAGGTCCATGGCAGCCGCTGGCTACGGGCTATCAATCCCCAGTGGCCAGACTTCCCCTATTTTCCCTCCACCCCAACAAGCTGGGTTTCTGCTCCCCAATCCCTCAGCCTGTATTTCCCTTGGTGACCCAGGTGCAGCAACCTTGTTTGACACTCCACCCCCATCCCTCCCCAGGTACCTGTCACAGGTGCAGCTGGAGAGGAAGAAAAGCAGGACATAGACGAAGAGGGTGTAGGCGACGGCGACAATGGTGCCCAGAGGGATGGCCCGGCTGGGGTCCTTCAGCTCCCCTGTGGGGAGGGGAGCAGAAGGGGCGAGGTCAGCCCTCCCGCCGTCCCCCTGGGTCCCTCATGGTGGCAGCCCCACACCCCCAGGAGGCGGCAGGCAGAAACTCTCACCTGACATGTTGGCCCCAGCCATGATGCCTGTACAGCCATTAAAGAGGACAGCAAAGACGCTGGCAAAATTCATCATGGCTCCCGTGGTGTAGTCCTCAGCATAGCCAGCTAGGAGGATGCTCCCAGGAGGGAGAGGACGTCAGCATCCTCTCAGGGATCCAGGCCTCTCAGCCACCCTTTCCACACATTCCACAGCCCCCCCGCCTCCCCTGACTGCCCTCACCAAGACCCCAGCCTGCCCCTGCACTGGCCTTGGGTCAGCCAGATGCACTGCCACATCCCCGAAATGCTCTGATATTCCTCCCTCCAGGCCCTAATCCACACTCTTTTATTTATTATTTATTTATTTAATTTTTAGAGACATGGTCTCGCTCTGTCACCCAGGTTGGACTGCAGTGGCACCATCATAGCTCACTGCAGCCTCTACCTCCTGGGCTCAAGCCTGTCAAGTAGCTGGAACTACAGGTATGCACCACCATGCCCATCTAACTTTTTAATTTTTATTTATTTATTTATTTTGAGATGGAGTCTCGCTCTATCACCCAGGTTGGAGTGCAATGGTGTAATCTCAGCTCATTGCAACCTCTACCTCCCGGGTTCAAGTGATTCTCCTTCCTCAGCCTCCCAAGTAGCTGGGATTACAGGTGCCCACCAGCACACCTGACTAATTTTTGTATTTTTAGTACAGATGAGGTTTTACCATGTTGGTCAGGCTGGTCTCAAACTCCTGGCATCCGGTGATCCACCCTCCTCGGCCTCCCAAAGTGCTGGGATTACAGGTGTGAGCCACCGCACATGGCCTATTTACTTTTTTGAGACAGAGTCTCGTTCTGAAACCCAGGCTGGAGTGCAGAGGTGGCGATCTTAGCTCACTACAGCCTCCCCCTCTTGAGTTCAAGTGATTCTCATGCCTCAGCCTCCTCAGTAGCTGGGACTACAGGCATGTTCCACCACGCCTGGCTAATTTTTGTATTTTTCAATTTTTTTATTATTATTACTATTTTTTGGAGACAGAGTCTCCCTCTTGTCACCCAGGCTGCAGTGCAGTGGCGAATTCTTGGCTCACTGCAACCTCTGCCTCCCGGGTTCAAGCAATTCTGCCTCAGCCTCCCGAGTATCTAGGACTACAGGTGCCTGCCACTGTACCCAGCTAATTTTTGTATCTTTTTTTCTTTTTCTTCCCAAGAATGTTGACTGAGATAATTTTTGTATTTTTAGTAGAGACAGGGTTGGCCAGACTGGTCTCAAACTCCTGACCTCAGGTGATCCTCCTGCCTTGGCCTCCCAGAATGCTGGGATTACAGGCCTGAGCCACCACACCCAGTCTCAAGCTCTTTCCTGAGATGCCTTCCCTCCCTGCTCTCAGCTCCTGGCTGAATCCCCCACCCGTCTATCTCAGGCCACCTCCAGCTCCACGGCTCCTGCCCTTCCCAGCCCATAGTCAGGCCTCCCTTCTGTTCACTCCTGGGTGATCCAGATCTGTGTAAGTCATGCTGGGCCTTACTGTGCTATTGGACTGATTCCTGAATACACATCTTTCCCCAGCTAGAACACAAGTTCCTCTAAAGCAGGGACTGTCTTGTGGGCTCCCTCCTGCCCCAAAGGCCAAACACACACTGGACAGGCCTGAATGAAGCTGCACTGTTCTGCGCTCCAGACCTCCTGCCCCACATTCCCTCTGACACCTCTACTCATCCAGGGATTCTAAGGGTCCAGCCCCAATGCCTGCCCACTCCTCACCCCGAGATCCCGGCCACCACAGTGCCTAGCTCACCGCCTAAGTTGTCCTTCAGGGTACTGCTGTTGAAGCCGGTGAAGTGGCCAAATCGAGGCGGCAGGGAGGAGCCATTGCGGCCAGGCCGAGGAGTCAAGGGGATGTTCCTTGGCCCCACAGCCACAAAGCTGATGAGCACGGAGGTCAGGGAGCCAGAGACCAGCAGAAATGTGAGGAACGAGGCCCGGGCGTAGAGGTCGGCTCCCAGGGTGCAGACCCCACCCACAAGGCCCAGCAGCAGGGAGCCATACAGCAGGTTCCAGCCGTAGCCCTGGGGCAGGACTTGGAGGCCACTGGGCCCTGTGGCATCTGGAGAGAGGTAGGGACAGAGTTAGAAGGCCTGATCCTAAGGCACTCCACCGGCCGGGCATGGTGGGTGGCTCACGCCTGCAATTCCAGCATTTTGGGAGGCCAAGGTGGGAGGATTGCTTAAGTCCAGGAGTTTAAGATGAGCCTGGGCAACACTGCGAAACCCCAACTCCACAAAAACTGCAAAAATTAACCAGGCATGGTGATATGCGCCTGTAGTCCCAGCTACTGGGAGGCTGAGGTGGGAGAATCGCTTGAGCCTGGGAGGCAGAAGTTGCACTGCACCAAGATCATACCACTGCACTCCAGCCTGGATGACACAGTGAGACCTTGTCTCAAGAAAAAAAAAAGGGGGGGGGACTGAGCACCACGGCTCACGACTGTAATCTCAGCACTTTGGGAGGCCAAGGCAAGTAGATCACTTGAGATCAGGAGTTCAAGACTAGCCTGGCCAACATGGCAATACCCCGTCTCTACTAAAAATACAAAAATTAGCCAGGCGTGGTGGTGGCTGCCTATAATCTCTGCTACTAAGGAGGCTAAAGCAGGAGAATCACTTGAACCTGGGAGGCAGAGGTTGCAGTGAGTGGAGATCACACTACTGCACTCGAGCCTGGGCAACAAAGCGAGACTCCATCTCAAAAATAAAATAAAAAAGAAGGGACCAAGTCCCAGTCCCAGAGGGGGGCAAGACAAGCCCCCCTCTGCCCACCTGCTGTCAGAGAGACCACCTTCCCCACTTCCCTCTTAGCTCTAACCCAGCATCTTAGCTCTCCCTGGTGGTCTTGTCAATTTCAAGAATCTCAGCCCAGTCTCTCTGACTGGTTAGCTCCCGGCAGGCAAGGACAATATCGGGGATGTCACATCTCTTGCATGATGCTGGCCACACAGCAGGAGCTCCGGAAAGCCAAGGTAATGGCTCACTCTGCCCCTCGCCTGGAGAGGACCTTCTCCTTCATGACTGCACACTCCCAGACCCTGCAAACCCGCAGAAATGCCCAGAGCCGACAAAGCACAGACCGGCCCCGAAGACGTCAAGCACAGACTCCACCAGTCCCAGCAGGGAGACGGCACAGCCACAGACGTTAGCCAGGTAGAACATGAGGCCAATGCTGCCGCCGACCTCGGGCCCCAGTGTCCGGCTGATCATGACTGAAAGTGGAAGCAGGGGTGAGCATTAAGGGAAAAAAAACTGAAATGGGCGTGAGGAAGGCGCCACGGCTCGAAGCATTTCACCCAAGTGCAGCCAGTCCCCAGCCATGTGGCTTTGCACAAGTCGCTCATACCCACTGAGTGCCAGTTTCTGCATCTGTAAAACAATCACTGCCTAGGCCAGGCTCGGTGGCTCACGCCTGTAATCCCAGCACTTTGGGAAGCCAAGGCGGGCGGATCACGAGATGGAAAAAGTTGAGACCATCCTGGCCAACATGGTGAAACCCCACCGCATTCCACCCTGGCGACAGAGCAAGACTCCATCTCAAAAAAAAAAAAAAAAAATCACTGCCTAACAGACAAGATTGTTAGACTAGAAACTGGCATTAACGTGTAGGGCAATATTGATCTTCTTCACTATACCAGCCTGCCTGCTGCACATTCATTAAAACTTGCCCTGCCAGGCACAGTGGCTGACGCCTGTAATCCCAGCATTTTGGGAGGCTGAGGCAGGAGGATCACTTGAGGCCAGGAATTCAAGACCAGCCTGGGAAACATAGCAAGACTCCCTCTCTATAAAAAAAATTAAAAAATTGGCCTGCTGTGATGGCTCACGCCTGTAATCCCAGCACTTTGGGAGGCCAAGGCAGGCGGATCACCAGGTCAAGAGATCGAGACCATCCTGGCCAACGTGGTAGAACCTCGTCTCTACTAAAAATACAAAAATTAGCTGGGCGTGGTGGCGCTCACCTGTAGTCCCAGCTACTTGGGAGGCTGAGGCAGAAGAATCACTTGAACCTGGGAGGCAGAGGTTGCAGTGAGCCGAGATCGCACCATTGCACTCCAGTCTGGCAACAGAGCAAGACTCTGTCTCAAAAAATAAAAATAAAAATAAAAATTTAAAAATTAAACAGGGGTGGTGGTACACGCCTATAGTCCCATCTACTCAGGAGGCTGAGGCAGGAGGATCACTTGAGCCCAGGAAGTCGAGACTGCAGTGAGCTATGATGGCACCACTGCACTCCAGCCTGGGAGTCAGAATCTTGCTCTGTTGCCCAGGTTGGAGTGCAGTGATATGATCTTGGCACACTGCAACCTCCACCTCCCAAGTAGCTGGTTCAAGCGATTCTCCTGCCTTAGCCTCCCAAGTAGCTGGAATCACAGGCAGATGCCACCATGCCCAGCTAATTTTTGTATTTTTAGTAGAGACAGGGTTTTACCATGTTGGCCAGGATGGTCTCAAACTCCTGGCCTCAAGTGATCCTCCCACCTGGGCCTCCCAAAGTGCTGAGATTACAGGCGTGAACCACCGCACCCAGCCTAAAAAAATTTTAAGAATGAAAAAAAAAAAAAACACTTGTCTTGCCCCTTAGCCAACAAATGTAATGGCCCCTTCCCCACCCTCCCTAGCAGGCAGAACAGCCTAGACCCCAGCCCAGACCCCAGTCCATTGATGTTGGAGGATACAGTAGGCTCCGCCCCCCTGCACGGCTCCATTGGTGGCGATGGCACAGACAGAAAGGACGGTGAGTGCCAGGATGAAGTAGGCAACAAGGAGCATGGCCAGGGCCTGCAGCAGCCCAGCATGACCCACCACGAACCCTGAGGCAGGAGCAGCAAGTCAGGTCATGGGGACTCACACCCCAAATCCCCCACCCACTGGGTCTGCATCGATCCAGGGTGGAGCTAAACGCAAGCTCACAGGGAGCCCTCCCCAAGCCCTTCAGCCACCCACATCCCCCAGGGCCGCTTCCTAATGTCATCCCAGTCCCACCCCTCCCCATCATGTCCCCTCAGCCCTCCCCGTCCAGGGCCCACTCACCAATCCTCAGAAAAACAACTATGCTAAACATGGACAGGACAGTAGGCACCACAACACCCAGGAAGGTGGACAGCTTCCGGGCAGATGCCCCTCCAGGACCCCCAGCCCCATTAGCAGGGAGGGCAGCCCCCTCCTCCCCCAGGAGCCGGTAGGCCAGCAGAGGCGAGCTCTCGCTGGCCATGGCTTCGCACAGGCAGAGGAAACCACAAATGGGTTAGGTGACCTGCAAAGGAGATTATGTTACATCAAAAGCAGCTCCAGAGAGCATACCCACCCCCAAACACCACTAACCAAACACCCAGAAGCCTCCCCAAAAGAGAAAGCTGCTCACTACTAAAAACACAAAAATTGGCTGGGCTCAGTGGTTCACACCCGTAATCCCAGCACTTTGGGAGGAGGAGGCGGTTGGATCACCTGAGGTCAGGAGTTCGAGACCAGCCTGGTCAAATGGTGAAACCCCCCATCTCTACTAAAAATACAGAAATTAGCCGGTTGTGGTGGCTTACGCCTGTAGTCTTGGCTACTTGGGAGACTGAGACATGAAAATCACTTGAACCCAGGAGGCACAGGTTGCAGTGAGCCAACACTGTACCACTGCGCTCCAGCCTGGGCAACAGAGTGAGACTGTCTCAAAAACAAAAAGCCAGGCGTGAAGGTACACACCTGTCATTGCAGCTACTCAGGAGGCTGAGGCATGAGAATTGCTTGAGCCCTGGAGGAATAGGGCTGCAGTGAGCCCAGATTGAGCCACTGCACTCCAGCCTGGCTGACAGAACGAGACCCTGGCTGACAGAGCAAGACCCTGTCTCAAGACAGAAACAAAAAAAGAGAACCTCAAGAAAACAGGAATGCCCCCACACCCTGCTTACCAGCAACTCGAAAGAGCCGGTGAGGCTGCAAATGGTACCAGCCACTCCTCCACAAAGAAGTGGTACCCCAAACCCGACAGCAGGGGTTTCAGGGCCCCTCCCGGCTGCTGGGGGCCACCCCTTCCCTTATGTTCCTGACACTAGGGATGGCACCGGGTCTGGAAAGAGGCAAAGGTTCTCTGACGGCACAGTCTTCTCCAGCCTCTCCTTCCTTAACTAGCATTGCAAGAGGAAGCAAATCTCCCAAAAGGGAAGTAAGTTACGTGCAGGACAGCCTTCCCCATCTCCTCCTTCGGTGTCCCGAGCCGCCCCTACCAAACTCCTCATGCAATCACTGCACCCACAGGCAGCAAGAAACTTCCAACTCTTCCAAAGCCACGCCCTCCGTCAATCCTCTCCCTCAATCCATCTCAAAGCCCCTCTTCCTCTCCCTAGCCTCCTCAGATTCCTCCCATCCAAATGAGCCTCCCCAGATTCCTCCCATCCCCACTCCAAACTCTACCAACCCAAACACACCCCTCGACTAGGAAAACAGAAACACAGGCCGGCTCCCACCGAGCAACTCAAGGTCCCCGGGTCCTCCTCCCCTCACCCGGGCTCCTGCTCCTTTGCGCCTGCTGGGGTGTAAGGGGGCCAGGATCTCCCTCCCGGCCAGCTGCACCCCACAGCTCGGCGGGCCGCAGGGCACTCACTCACCCACCCGCAGGACGCAGCGCTCGGGGGCGATCCCCGCGAGCCTGGGGTCTCCGCCTCGGGCGGAGAGCGGACGCGGGCCGGAAAAGACAGCCGCGGCTACCGGGATGCCAGGCCCGGAGCCTGTCCCCACCCCCACCAGCACGCGCTCGCCATTGGTCCTGGTCCCCGGCCCCGCCCCGTGGGCGCGCCCGGGGAAGCTCCGCCCCCTCTGCGTTCCCCAGCCTGCCAGGTTCCAGTTCCAGCTCCACGTGCACCCAACGATTGCCCTGCAGCCCCGGTCTCCCTGAAGACCGGCGTCTCCGACAGGGCGTGGGCCGCGAGTGTCGGAGCTTCCAGCATTTTGGTGCACATAATCGCCGCCGCGGGGGCCGGACCCCAGTCCGAGCTCCTAGGTGCCGGGAGCTGCTACCCAGCTAAAGTGGGCGTGTGAGGACGGACGAAGGCGGCCGGGAGGTGGGCGGCGCTGCCACACCTGGGTCAGGTGCGTCACGGGGACTCCGGCCCCCTTCGTTCGGGATTTCTGGAGTCCTAATCCTCCAACCTCTCAAAGCCCTAGAACCTCCGCGGGGTCCCAGCCTCGCCCCTCACCCCTGCTGGGATCCTTTCTTGCGCCCGATCCAGCTGCGCTCTTCGCTTCGGCCACCGGAGGGAGCCATTGGCCACCGATGTGGGTCCAGGGTCCCTTTGCTCTGTCTGATGCCCGCTCTCGTGCCTCCCTGTAGTGTTCTCACCTCCAGCAGAAATGCTAGAGCCTGTGAACCCTGCTGAGAGCTGAGACTCCTTCTTCACTCTTTACAGATGCCATGAACAGCAGTACCGCCTGTCAATGCGTCCTCAGGTGTAAAATGGGCACAGACTCGAACCTCCCGTGAGTCCAATGAGCTAATAGGCTTTATCTTATTTTATTTTTTTGAGATAGAGTTTGCTCTTGTGGCCCAGGCTGGAGTGAAATGGTGCCATCTCGGCTCACCGCAACCTCCGCCTCCTGGGTTCAAGCGATTCTTCTGCCACAGCCTCCCGAGTAGCTGGGATTATAGGCCTGCGCCACCACGCCTAATTTTGTACTTTTAGTAAAGACGGGGTTTCTCCATGTTGGTCAGGCTGGTGTTAAACTCCCGACCTCAGGTGATCTGCTGGGATTACAGGCGTGTGCCACGGCGCCCGGCCTAAGCACTTTAGAACAATACCTAAAGGTTCGATAAATTATCCCTTCCAAATAGCATTGCATTAAATTAGCCACTCTCCGAGGTAGGTACCACTATTATTATTATTATTATTATTTTTAAGATGGGGTTTCACTCTAGATGGCCAGGCTGGTCTTGAACTCCTGACCTCAGGTGATCCACCCACCTCGGCCTCACAAAGTGTTAGGATTACAGGCATGAGCCACTGCGCCCGGCCAGTACCACTATTATTTCAATTTTTCAGATTAGGAAATTGAATTCGGAGACTATACATTTCCTTTTTTTTTTTTTTTGGATCCAGGGACGATTACACCGGCTGGAGTGCAGTGGCCAGATCTCCCTTCACTGCAACTTCAGCCTTTTCAGCTCAAGCATCTTCCTGCCTCAGCCTCCCGAGTGCCTGGAACTACACAGGCGCACACCACCACACCTGGCTAATTTTTTACTATTTTGTAGATACTGGGTTTCGCCATGTTGCCCAGGCTTCTCTGGAGCTCCTGAACTCAAGCATGTGCCTGTAGTCCCAGCTACTTGGGAGGCTGAGACAAAAGAATCGCTTGAACCCAGGAGGCAGAGGTTGCAGTGAGCTGAGATCACACCACTGCACTCCACCCTTGGCAACAGAATTCGACTCTGTCTCAAAAAAAAAATTTTTTTTTCAGCATCAGTTATAAGCACTCCCTGGCCTAGGTTGACCTGTCCATCACTGGACTCTGCTTCCGTAAATCTCACCCTCCACCTTACCCTGTTACTCTGTGGTTTTGCCCTGGACCTTGTCTTTGTCAGTGACTGCAGCCCTCCTCTTCAGTTCGCCACTTCTACTGCGCTTGTTGAAGAAAAAACCTGATGCTTGTTAAAACAGTAAGGCAGACTTTATTCAGGACTAGTTTGATTGGCTCCAAGATGGTGACAAGGAACTGGGTGTGGAAGCTCCCACCTGTAATCTCAGCATTTTGGACGGCTGAGGCAGGGGGATCACTTGAGCCCAAAAGCTCCAGACCAGCTGGGCAATATAGTGGGACCCCATCTCTACAAAATAAAATAAAATAATTAGCCAGGTGTGATGGTGCCTGCCTCTTGTCCCAGCTACTCAGGAGGCTGAAGTAGGAGGATGGAGGCTGCGGTGTGCTATGATCCTATGGCTGTATACCAGTCTGCGTGATAGAGCAAGACCTTATCTCAAAAAAAGAAAAGGAAGGGAGGGAGGGAGGCTAGGCATGTTGGCTCACGCCTGTAATCTCAGCACTTTCGGAGGCCAAGGCAGGTAGATCACCTGAGATCAGGAGTTCGAGACCAGCCTGACCAACATGGGGACCCCCCCATCTCTACTAAAAATACAAAATTACCTAGGCGCAGTAGCAGGTGCCCGTAGTCCCAGCTAATCAGGAGGCTGAGGATCACTTGAACCTGGGAGGTGGAGGTTGCAGTGAGCCAAGATCTCACCTGTGTACTCCAGCCTGGGTGACGCAGTGAGACTCAA